TGAGAGCTTGGGGATTCTGTATTGATTTGCAGGGACATTCAATCAGACATATGTCACCTATGTGTTCTGTCTTGTGTAACAAATACACAGAATGTTTGGGTGCTCTCATGTAGCCATCAGTGATGACAGTTACTTTGAAAAAGTAACTTTAATCGGATTACAATACATACGTCCGCGGAGGGGAAAAAACAAAGCCAGAAACAGTTCCCTACTCTGACCTGAACTGATCTGGAGAGAGGCCAGAAAGGGGCACTTTGGTGTTTCTAACTAAACAGTTAGTTTAGTTAGAAACTAAAACTTTTTAACTAAAAAGTTTAGTTAGAAACTAAGCTTTCTGTTTTCTCATTTATTTTTCTCTCTACAGAAGCTACATCTGGTCTGGTGTTCTGATTAGCTGTGGTTGCTTCCTGGAAAAGGGCATTGACTGACATGATGCTGCCATCACCTAACCGTTCTTCCTCTCCTTTTCATTTCTACGAACATGGAAAGTTCTCCTGGATCAGTTGACCTGTTGTTGTGGCTCTGCTCTGTCTTCTCTCAGCTCCAGTCGGTCATGGCAGATGGCTTCTGGTACTGAGCCCAGTTCTGGTTCTGCTGTAAGTTTCCTCCTGGTAGAGGGGAGTTCTTCTTCTCTACTGTCGCTACATGCATGCTCTGTATGAGGGACTGCTGTAAAGTCAACGACTCAACACAAGCAGGGGCTGTCACCCCCTGCTGGTCAGGAGGAGTGAATGCTCCTTTTCCACGTGGCACAATGCAATGGACCAACACAAAGAAATGCACAATTGTGGAGACAAAGAATTGACCAAAGTTAACACCCAAATTTTGATGTCAAAACGCTTTGACGTCATCTTCTTTTCCCTTGCTCCCACCACCATGTTTAACGGTGTGGGCGGTGTGGTCAGAGTGACGTACAAGTTTAGTTTTTAAACTTACCCAGAGTATTAAATGTTGCCCAGAGATTTACGTTTTAGTCTCATCTGTCCAGAAAACCAACGAGACGAAATGTAAAGAAGTTCTTGAGGTATGAAAACTTCTACAAAGCTGCTGCACCTAAAGTCAAACACAACACATTTTTATGCAGTTTTTATTTATTCTCATAAAGTATGACTCAGACAAAT